ATATACATATATATATATATATATATATATATATATATGTATATGTATATATGTACAGAGTATATTGACATATTTCTCCTCTCTTGTTAGTTGTTGGGAGAATGTGAGCGTGAATGGTTGTCTGTTATTAAGTGTTAGCCCTGCGACCTCTCGCCCAATGTCATCGCGACCCATAACAGGATAAGCAGTTACAGAAAATGAATGGATGAATGAATGTTAGCAAACGTAGGCTACATGAAAGATGTGACAGTTGGTTTTCCTGGTATTTGTCCCTCCTCCAATGTGACTGAATGGCTGGGTAAAGTAATGAGCACAGCATTCTACCCAAAGTTGAAATTTTTTTGACTCTGCACTCATACCAGGCAGCACTCAGCGCAGAATAGACGCTTAGCGCCTCGTCACACTGCTGGTGTTTGTAGCATAGCATAAATACGCAGCACTCCCAATGCAAAGATTTTACTAATAATCTGGCCTCAGGAAAAAAACACTTTTGTGGATATGGCCTCTAAGAATGACACTGCTCTCATCCAGGAATGTCTGAGGTGTTCCTGGTAAAAAAGACGGGATGAAACATTACATATTTACTCAACAGACTGACGGTAGCAAGGTTACAACTGCACACATCTGTGAACATGTATGGATCTCACTGTTTCTTAATTGCATTATTTTTCTTAAGTGAAATGTTTCATAAACAGTTGAATCTTTCTCTCTTGGTGTTGTTGACCAAGTTTTTAAGAAAAATAAAGTTGGTGCAGGCTCTGCTGCAGGAGTTACTATGACCAAACTGAATGACACAATTAAAAAAACGGTTATCTCGACTCACTCTAACAAATTCCTGTACAATATGTATAGAGCAATTATGCCGGACAAAGTCAATCTATAAGCATGTTCGTAAGCTTAAAATGCTTCATAAAGCCAGACAGAACATAAAATAACAAAACACTTCGGAGGAAAAATATATTGTCATTGTCCCCGTTTCACTCGTCTTTGCCATCCTTGTTTATACTGCTCAAATTCACACAAAATGAGACTCTGATTTATCTCAGATAACAGTAGAGATATTTAAAGGCACATTCTGCAATATTTCCTATTGCATTGTTGACGTAAGGAGGACACACAGTGCCATGGATGAGAAGCACCTGGAACCAGGCTCGGCCAATAAAACAAAATTGCGTTGACTATACATGAAGAAATTAAGATGTAGGGCGATCTCACCTTCAGGCAAGGAAAGGAACTGCTTCTGTAATTTGACAGTTGCACCACCTGCAGTTGCTTTCACTTTTATAGATGCTGTTCAAGGATTTATATTTAACCTCGTGAGTAAGATTTAAATTTTCGGTCTTTGGCAACTTCTTGTGGTAATAACAAAAAAAAAAAAAAAAAAAAAAGGAGTAGGACAGAGGGACTATATAAAAATATTAGCAATGACTAACTTGACTAGGTTCTGTCTGTCTTGTCTTTGGCTCTGAATACTTGGATTATGTTGTTGCCAATTTACATATCTGTTATTTTATTGCAGCTATAAAAATCCACAGGTGCAACATTTATTGCCTGCAGGTGGCGCAAGTGTTAAAACTCCACCAGCTATTTCTTTCCTGCAGAAAAGCAACAAAGACATCTGCATGTCCTAATTGGTAGTGCTATTACTTTCCTTCCCTGTAGGTGGTGCAGATTGGCATGCAGTGAAGTGGACAGCTTATCTACTAAAAGTAAATAAGCGAGTTCCAGGAGGTGCTCTGCATCTAAAAAATGATGACACCTGAATCATTAATGGCTTTACCTTTTTTTCTGCACTCAGTCCTTCTGTTCACTACGAGTCATTAGCAATGATGACATAATAAGGCCAAGTAGGAAATCTCGCTGACTGTGCCTTTAAATGTCTTTCATGATGCAAAACATACAAATGCTTCAAAGCATACAAGGTTTGTTACTTCTTCTCAATCTTCAGTGTTTGTACAAAACTCCAAAGGTCCTTGACCACCTGAGAAAGGTCGGGAGAGGGGAGAGAGGGATAACAACAAAAAAGAAAAAAGAAAGAGACAGAAATTATAAGTCTTCCAAATGAAGTGCTATACAGCATTAGACATATGACTCACTTTTACTACAACATGCTTTTGTGCGTCTCGCCTGTGGGAACACTGAGTTTAGATGGGGCTGTTGAGGGAACAACGAGGGGTTGGGTGGGGGCAACAGCACATACCAGAGTATATGACTAGGTGCTCCAGGTCTGACAGATCTCAGCCTTGGCTGATGAAACCAAAGCACTTCCACAGATGTTTCTACACACTGGGATCAACAAGCTCTCCCCGACCCAACTCCATCCCCACTTTTTTCCCTGTCCACCCAGCCCTCGTGCCGGACTAAAGAGCTTTCACCTGCTCCCATAACTGTACAGTTAACATTTTAACACTGCAATGTGATCACAAATGAATGTTAAAATAGCCCCTTTCAAGTGTTAGCCTTCTAACAGATGCTGTGCTACAGAAAACACACCTTTACAATCTAACACAGCCTAGTATCTTTGAGTCGTGTTGATAATCAGCCCAATCAACAGAAAGAAATGTTGGCAATGTATGTTTCTGTGAACCATGGATATATGTTACATTTGTATGTTTCATCATATTAATGTTTCTTAAGTGACATAATATATAAGCTGAATTTGTCATCTGGAGGTGGAGGTGGATGTTAAATGGTCATCTAGGCAAAACGCCTGCCAAACTGCAGACCACTGTTCGAGATCAAAAAACAACAAATCCGGTTGTGATTTTGTGAGTCACGCTGTGTTTTCATCAGCTTTTTAGGCTCAAACGCAGGTGTTTTGTAGCGACTTGTCTGTGTTTTTCCAGCGTCTTTTTAGGCTCCTAGTATGGGTGTTTTGTATCAACCTGTCACTGTATTTTCATCGGCTTTTTAGGCTCCAAACGAGGGTGTTTTGTAGCGACCCGTCTGCATTTTTCCAGTAGTTTTTTAGGCTCCAAATGTGGGTGTTTTGCAGCTACGTGTTGGTGTGTTTTCATTGGTTTTTAGCTCCAAACAAGGCCTTTTTGTAGCTGCCTGTCAGTGTGTTTTCATTGGCTTTTTAGGCTCCAAACAAGGGTGTTTTGTAGCAACCCTTCTACTTATTAGGCTCCAAATGTGAGTGTTTTGCAGTGACCTGTCAGTGTGTTTTCATCAGCTTTTTAGGTTTCAAACAAGGGTGTTTTATAGTGACCCGTTGGTGTTTTTCCAGCGAGGAAAGTGCCACGAAAAGCAGTTGTATTCTACCAGCCATCGCTGATTTTCTTGCTCAGATTGTGCATAAAGTAACATAAAGTTTCAATGTATATGCTACGCCATAACGTGCAAATGTAATGCAAAGTTGTAACGTATCCGGGGTTTGCAGTAAAGTACAATGCCAACATTTTGTCTTGAGAATGGGTTGTGATAATCTAAAGGGTTTAGGCTGATTAATTCATGCTCTGTAAAACAATGTGCAGGGGCTGTTGTTTTTCTCCTGAAATGACAAGCAGCATTAGAAAAGATTTAAGTGCTGCTTTTAGAAAAACCCTCTTTTGGGTTGGTCAAAGGCCTTGAATGTGAAAGAGACTGGTACCATCCACATACCACCAGTCCCTTCATTAAGGCTACAAAAGACACACACTCCAGTAAATCACTGAGAAAGAGTTTGCCTTGGCAGGTGTACTCCCATTCCATCTCGAAAGAGCCCGCTGACACAAAATGAATATAATTCAAAGAGAACACACTGTGCTGGAGAGATGTTTGAGGCGTAATGGACAGTGTATGGTAAAAGGACAGTGTGTGGAACAATAATGCATTCCTGGGTATCTATCATGGCAAAAGCTCTTAAAACTTGAAATGAAGGTTGATGTAGATGTGCCTGTGGCTACAAACCAAACAACTCCCCATGACTTAGTGTTTATGACACTACATGCAGAAATAAATTGCACGTCATGTAAAGCAAACCATGTAAAAGACTTAAAAATAACAAAGACCGACCTTAGATGCCTCCTAATCAGGGCTCTCAAAACCATGTGCAATCAATAAATATACACATAATATATCAAATGACTCACATGATTACTTACTTTTTTGTCTGAGATTTTAAAAGAACTCTTCACGAAATTCTCAAACTTCTGCTCCGTCTTCGGTAGTGGTTTTCCCTGATGTAAAACACCATTAAATCACCAGCTTAACTGTGCGTCAGACATTCAATTAAGAATGGTAATTTGCAAAAGAGGATGACAGCCTTACCTCCTTGGCTGCCGTTGACAACTTGCTCTTAATCTCAGTCAGAGAGGGAGATTTAGACGGGCCAGCCTGGGGTTTGTCTTTTCCTGGGGCAGGTGTCTTAAAAAATACATCAACTAGATAAGAAACACTGATTGATATGTCGAAAGGAGAGATTTATAGAGTTGTAGATAAAAAGATAACTTCATATTAGGCCACAATGCTTCTCTTTTTGTTCAGCTCTTCCTCTTGTTTGAACTCAACACAACATTGCTAACATATTGGTGATGAATCCATTTGCTGACCAAAAGGCCAGTCTGGATTACAGCCCTATCATGACCCATTTTGTCTGGGTCTGTGTTTACAGACTTGGCATGGGCAACCAGCTGGAAGAAGATAAAAGCACTAGAAAGGACAACAAATTCTAGCCTAATTACACCATCTTTTATACAAATACATCAGGTACAAATTATGTTTTTATTGTTTGCAAGCAGGAGAGGGCAAGCCCTGACTCTCCAATGAGTAATAGATTGTCAAATGTGTTTTTCCCTTGATGTCAACTCTTAACGACTGAACTAAAGAACAAAAGTCAAAGTGCAACTAATGTGCTTGTTTTTCAATTAAAGTTATGCTGACATCAAATTAATGACTTCCACAAGAAAAGATTACACTTACACACTTAACACATTTATGGATGGTCAAGACTAAAACAATATGGTCACACGCAACCCTTCTTTATAATCCTTGGTGACATTAAAGGTGCTGTCTCGACATATAAAGAGTCCCCTATGTTTGTGAAGAAGAGAGCACAGAACCAGCGGGCCCGCAGGTGTGTTCAGACCTGGGCAGCCGAGGCCCCAGAAGTCCTCAATTAGGAAGTGTCTGAATGTGACACAACAACAACACACACACACACACACACACGCCATACGCCATGACTGCATGTTACACAAGCCACAGAGCTTGTCCCTACATGTAAAGCCAGTGTGGAATCCAGTGAAATTGCAGGGTTTCATTGATAGCCAGAGACACATTTGAAAGAAGAAAGGAGCCATGTACAATGCAACTCTTTAGCCTGCGAGCCAAAAAACAGCAAAATGTCTTGTAATTGATTTTCTTTTTGGTGGCTGATTGTTTCAACTTCAAAACACTATATTATTCTACACTGCTGTTAAGCAGCTCAAAGGATGGAGCATGGTGCAGATAATTTTAGGGTAAAGGTGTCTATTCCTACTGGAAATAGCAGGGAGTGTGAGTAGTAGGGATGTGAGTTTTGGTTAATTTTGCTTCACACAGCCCGAAACCTGTTAACTAGTAACTAACTAAAATGACATGAAGTACAAGATGCCTTTCCTTTTAGTCCAGCACTCCATTGACTCCAAAGCACCATCCATTTAGAGGTTGTGACATCTGATTGTTTTGTGTTGTGAAAGTCTTGTCTATTATTTGATTTTCTGTTGGCTTGCTGATCAACAGTCAGCTAGCGACATAAACGTGTGGAAAGATGGTGCCCACTGCGCACCATCTGGTCTGCACTGGTTAGCTAGCCTTGGCTGCACTGCACTGTGAGTCACCTGGGTCTGGTGTGAGCTAGCTAGTGACACCGCTCATTTGGTGATTACCTCTGGTAGTCCTGTTGCTGTGGAAACATGGCGGCCACTCTTCAGTTTCCCCCAGGTAGCCCCAGTGAGTAAGCGGCTTCAATTTGAGCCACAAAACCCCTTTTAATTTTGAGTAATTCAAATATTTATATTATTTTATTTTCATATATTTTTAAAAATTTTTTTAACTATGTTAGCATCACTACCTGTACTGACACTGCTACCGGTGCTAACACAGCTAACAATGATAACACAGTCAACAATGCTTAATGGGACACCGAAGGGTGGGCACAAAGTTTCCACAGCAACTCTGTTGGGTCGGGACGGCATTACTAGTGGTAATCGCCGAATGAGTGGAGTTGCTAGCCAGCTCTCACCAGACCTGGTTGGTGTGCAGTGCAGTAAACTGAAGAGTGGCAAAATTAACCTATAAACCAACATGTGTAACCATTCATAAACATTCTCAAAAGCTAACTGATTAACAATTAACCAATGTCATCCCTAATAAGCAGGTTTTGATGTAATTTTTTTGGGTCAATTTTTAGAAATTTTTATTCCAATTTCTACACACTAGTTCCAAAAACTGAGACAGAAACAAATGACAAAACAGTTTATGTCTGGTAGATTCAGGCTGCCATAAAAAACAATTTGTTTTAATGTAAGATGGAGGCGGAAGTGCAGTGGATCAAAATTTTGCAGTCAGGAATAGATGAGTGAAATTCCAAAGCTGCTTTCTTAACAATCTCCCACTTCTACTAACAGTTGGAACTGGCTGTTTAGATAAAAAGCAATCGACAAATATCACTACTTCATACTTTAATCACCTTTAGCAGCTTCAGGCTTTGAAAACCAGGGTAAGACTTGAAACGGTTAAAAACAGGTGGAACAATATGGAGAAAATAAATTCTCTCTCTTGTTTGAAAAACGCAATCATCTGTCCCTGTCCCCAAGAGATCTGCACTTTATAGCGCAGATCAAAAGGTATAAAATGAAGAAAACCTTGACGCACATACCACACTACAAAAAAAAGAGCACATATGCTGCTGGCTCCTGGCCAGACAAATGTACTACGTATTTATTATTTATGGGAAGCTCTCTACTTCCAAGGGACAGCTGCGGACCTGAAACAGCTGATAAACACACTGCACCAGCAAGCTTTTTCATCTGGGCCAGACACTGATTACAGATGCCACAAGACATGGAACTTAATCACAAGCACACTATCATTTGATGCAGTGTCTTGTCTTCAATCCAGTGCAAACACATGGTGTGACACCTTTGCTCATCGGGTCTGTCCGGGGATGGTAACTGTCATTTTGTAGGGATGAGAGCTTTGAGGCCCGTGTCTGGGAAAAAGTCAGGTCACTGGGGATTGTGACTTTAATCCTGTTACTTGTATGTGTAAGTAAAGGAGGACATCATGCACAACGGGTCTTGAGTCATAGTTAGAAGGCAACATCCTCACAGGAAAAGTAAATAAGCACTAAATAGATAGGCACCTGCTGAAACACATGTCAATCAGTTGCTAAAACAATGACTCACACCCTTTTGGGATAAGCCTGAGTGAAGTGGTATATACTTTACGACTGTGACGTGTGCTTGAAGGCATCAACTTCTCCAAACCCATCAATCAAAAGACACCAGCTGCAAGATAAAGTTACTTCAGATCAGCACAACTCGAGTTAGCTGGTTCTCATGTCAAGCCTGTTACGCAAGAAGGTGCAGCTACATGCTGGGCCGCGAGAGGTGAGAACTGTGGTACTGGCAACAGATCTGACAAGCCAATCTAATGACCAGTCACCTGCATTTAGTAAAGAAAAAACAGACATCCACGCCCGCTTCCTCGCTCCTCAGGGGCATCTGGAAGCGCAAGCTGCACCAGACATCAAACGCTGGTAATGAGAGCAATTGGGAGAAGGTGTGTCCAGGAAGTGAGGGGTGTGAAGAGGTTGTAGAGAGGGAACAGTTGTTGTGTAGAAGTGGAGAGGGGATGGGGGCAGTTGAAGCTTCCACAGGCCAGAAAGTTAAACTGGCGGGATGATTTTGGAGGCTCAGCTGCCCATTGGCTAATCCCCCAGAGCATTTCAAGAGCCACTGTGTTATGTCTGGACAACGGCCACTACAGAATTAGCTGCACTCTCCCACACACCAAGAACCCTGGCCGGGGGGGAAATCGCTTTCTCGCCTCAGGAATTCAGCAATCCTGCCGCTCAGTGTTTAACATGATAGAAATTACGGAGCTTTCAATCAAGACGTCAGACAAGAAATGGCAGTTTTCTTAAGCGCGCTGGGTGTGTGTGAGATAGTGTGCCTTTAGCATAGTGCTGTCACAACACCAAAATTGACTTCGATACCAATACCAAGCTTAGTATCACGATAAACGATACTTGGAACTGAACGACACTGATTCAATACTCAATACCAAATAGGTCAGAAACATTCGGCATGATAATAAATTATGTATAATAGACCTGTCTGCACAAAGCCCATGTATTGTTCTCTGAATGGTTCCAAAACAACAAACCATGAGTCTACCAACATGATGTTATCCCTATTTGTCATATTGACACTTGGACAGACGGCCCAAGTGTTATTAAAATGATGCTGAGGGCAGCCTTTTGCATCGTATCTTGATGCAGTCAGCAACTGAGTTTAGTCAACAAAGCTACTTGGTTTGGGTTACGAAAAGATCATAGTTGACAATAGTCACACCGGTCTACTAGTGTGACAAGAAAACTCAATAATGACTTAAAATTTCAATTTCACAGAGGACACAAACACCGATTTCTTGGGTCAGTCCTGTGCTTGTTGGGCCTATCCATCTCCCTTCCCTATTGCCCTAAGTAAGCTTTTGTGCTCTCAAATCCACATCTGTTGCTCTGAATGTCTAATAATGACCTGGATGGGTTTACACTGGAGTCATTTGAAAGCCCAGTGCCCCTCAAAGAGACACTAAAGGGTGGCTGATTCTACCAACAGGCCATTTCAACTTCAACGTTAATCACATTTTCTTAGCCGGGGTGTTATGTTAACTTTGGTGTGCCTTTTTAAAAACCGTTCTAACACTGTGGAGCCACTGTAGTTTAGAAGTGACACATAGCTACCAGCCCAATGCTATTTAACATCAGCTATTCAACCGTTTTAAAAGCAACAAAATGAGACCCCCCAAAAAACTGTCTTTGACATTTCGAAACTCATATTTTCTAATATACTTTTCACACTATTTACAATACAGGGTCGGCCTGACACTGATACACTACGCTACTGATACACTACGTATCTCAAATAATTTAACAGCTCATCACCATCCCATCAGCTGACTAGCCAGCTAGCTTACTTGCTAAACTCTTTTGTTTTGTACTCCTTGGAGAGGTCTTGATGTCTGTCACTGAGGTGTTTGGTGAGGTCTTAAGTGTTTCCTCCCTTGCAAGACACTGTTTGCACACAGGCTTGATTATGTCACTGGGTTTGCCATCAGCACCGGCTCTGAGGTGAAGTAGTTCATAGTAGGCTTTGGCAGCCCGTTTTGTTAACCAGTGCCGGGCATGGAGTTATTTCTTCAGATGACAAGTTGTTGTTGTCAGAAGTAGACTTGTTAAGGTAGAGGCATTGCTTCTCTCTCTCAGTCAAAGCTGAGGATCAAGCTGTATCATCAAGGATAAATGCACAGGTGCACATCCCCTAAATACAAGTGCCTGGCTTGGTTAAATTGCTCATTTCTGCAACCTGGTGGAGATTTAGACAAATTATACATTTCATACTCGAACCTACTACAAGTACCCAATGTTGGGAAATTCTAATACCGTACTGCTTTGTTGTTTTTACTCTGGTATTCTGTGCAACACTACTTTAGCATATACTTTATCATACAAGCAGCAGCATTTGCATGCCAACACATAACACCTTATCTAAACTGGGTTTCTGTCCAAGTCATTTTTATCACAGCAACATGCCTTGTGAAATTTGTAAACTTGCAGAGGAGCTTGCCAATTTGTATTCCCTCGTGTGTGTGTGTGTGCTACAGGGGGTNGGGGGGGGGGGGGGGGGGGGGGGGGGGGGGGGGGGGGGGGGGGGGGGGGGGGGGGGGCATCAAAGGTGGCTGCAACTCAAGATGGCAGGGTCAGGCCGAGGAGGTCACGGGTTTAAACCTTGCCCCAGGAAACCTGTTTAGAGGTCAGGTGTGTTTGCTTAAAGAGAGGCAGAGTTCAAGCTGTGGGTTTTGAGAGGCGGCTGTCCAAGACATTCCACCCAAGAAATTAACTATCAGGTTGAGCTAATTGCAATGTGCATTTATCACATTCCTTGGCTGTGGAATGGGAAGGCTCTCCAAGTTTTTTTTTTTTTTGTTCTTTTTTTGACATGTTTTAATTGTGAATGCCAATAAATACAAACAATTACCCTTGATCATAGACCCAGTGTGTCTTCTCAGGCTCAGGTTTGACAGGAACAATAATACACTAAAAGACTAAGTAGTTCAAATAAGTTTTTTGTTTCTTTTTTTTAAGTGCACTACATTGTGTCACACATTTAACTTTCAGGCCTTACGAGGCTTTTACTTCAGACATACTCGAAGCAGAGGGAGGTCCATGAGTGTGAGGCTTTACATTTGTTGCTTTATTCTGTGGAGATTTGATTTATCTTCTGTACATGTTGTGCAGACTTCTTTGCGTATCCTTCTTTAAAACTTAGATTTTCAATGTCCACCATTCTTTTATATAGTTTTCAGAGTGGCATGTCTTTCATTATGAACAGAGTTGCTGGGTTTATCTACAGTCTGGCATAACTGCAGACCTAATTAATCAGTCAGACAATGTCCTGGCCTACTACACAAATCTAGCTATATTATGTCCAAACAAATTTTACAATAATATGAACAAACAAACATAGGGTGTTTTTTTTTTACGGAAGGTTGCAATATAGATGCAATATAGATAAAGTTATGATATATCCCTCATTTGTTTCCTGCATAGCTAAACAAGTATCCAATTATTGTGTCTACATCTGAGAGGGAAATAAACAGGTTGGCCTTCACTGCACCTGTAAACCTGTCCAATAAAGTTAGTTGACCCTAACAGCTGACCCTTTGCTCTACAGTATAATGGCCGTCAACTGAATAATTAAATAACTGCAAGCCAACCACAAGTAAACAGAGCTGAGCAGGTGACAGAGCCTCTCCTACCTTAATCTGTGGTTTGACTGCTGATCCTGATGGTTTTCCTGCGGGGCCGTTTTGCTTCACTGGAGTCTTGTTGGGCTTCTTTGCTGAAAACTCTGGGCCCTGAGAAAGCAAAGAAACACAATCAAAATGTATCAGTAAAACACCCCCTGTATGACATGCCTATGTTTTTAGGAAAAAGCTGGTCATAAAATCTGTACATAAAGATGTACATGTTAAAAAAAGATAAGAAGACAAGGACAAGTTTCTGTATTTATATTACAAGTTCAGAAAATGTATATTAAATTAACCATAGATCACAGTAAATCACAGCAAACAGAACCAAACGTGAGCTGACAGCAGGGGCGCCATACTGAAGTTAAAAGCAGCTGTAAATTTAATCAACACTCCATGAAAAAGTGCCCCGACTCACTTTGAAGTAACTGAATGAAAACTGCAAACACTGCCACAAAGGTGGAACAGTTTAGATCGCTGGCCGATTGCCATATTTAACAGCCCCCTATATACTGTATATATTAATCATATCCCTGTTGGTTAGCTTCAAACTTCAAACTCCTTTTTGTCAATGTTACTGACTTTCAGACTGTTCCTCCACATATTTTATGTTGGATATGAAAATAACTTTTCCTCTTTGGGGTAGTTGTGTCATGTTGTTTTGAAAACTCCCATATCAAAGCTCTAACAGCCAAGCCTCTTTTATAGCTGACAAATTATAATTGCCATGTAACATAATGTGAACCACATTTGCAGAAGTGTTTGCAACTGTGGTTAATTTTCTCCAGTCTTTTGCCATGAGGTGTTCACGTTATTTTCGCTCACCCCTGTAAGGTCGTCATCTAACTAAAATGGAGGGAGTCTGTCTCTGTCTGCCTGTATGTCCTTTTTTCTCAACAACTGTTCATCCAATTGATTTGACACTTGGTGGGTGTATTGCTAAGGATCCAAAGAAGGGTAGTTTTAAGTGCAAGCTCTTGAGATCTATGGGACGTATTTATTAGTCGTGCGTTGTGTTCACTCTGTGTAGTGTATTGAGAGGGGACCCCTATTAACTGTTACACCACCGAACAGCATGCTCTCCATCACTCGCTATAGTACATTCAAGAACAGATGAAAAAAGAGACTGCAGAACACTAGGGCTGGCTACTTTTTACAAAATTACAACACCAGTACCAAGATCAGTACCCTTAAAGTGATACTGGTACCAATAGAATACTTAATTTGTGAAACTAAGCAGCAGTCATGTGACAATAACAACCAATCACAGCCAAAAGATACCTTTCCCTTTTTCTGAAAATATCAGTCTGTGGTAAACATGGAAAAGTTGATCATTTTGGTGCAGGGCAGCCAGAGCTTTTCATCTGTGCCACGGACAATAAGCCTTCACTTATAAACAGTGCCTGGAAGAAGATCAGCTCTGCACTCAGGATTTTGGGTGAACAGGATATGATACGGTGCTTGTTAAGGTTGCTTAGTAACCTCAGACACAACCTGCCACCGTGCTCTAACTTGCACCTAAATGACGCGTACACTCTAGCCCTGCTGGGGTTCCAAAGTACGTTATGGCAGGTGTATTGTAGAGCTTAGGTTCCCTGCCCAAGCCTGAACCGTAATTTCTCGCCACTGTCCTCCAGCTCGGGCTCCTCATAATAGACCTAGGCTACGTGACGTGTGTGTCAGCTTCATCGAGTGTACCAAGTGCAGCACGATGCTGGTATATGACAGCAAAAAGACACGTCCTTGACACTTTAGAGGCACATGATGAAAGCTTGCCATGGAAAGAAAGACGAGAGTCAGCCTTCAATGTCCACGTTTGTATCCTTAAAAGGTGTGAAGTGTGAAGTTGTTTAGATGAGTGGTTCTCAAGAAAGCTACAAGCAGCAACACCTGAAGCCAAGCAATTGGCCTGGACATAAAAGGCATGTCTGAATGGACACTGCACTAGTATTATCAATGCTACACATGTCGACTATTGTTAGCAGTGTTAAAACCCAGGAAGACAAAACATTTCCATTCTACAACAAAAAACAACTCAACACTGTTGACACTAATTTGGGAATTCATAGTTTCTGATTAAGTATCTCAGTAAAAAAAAGTGTACTGAAAACGTAACTGTAACCAGATCAGGGATATGTGACCAAAACTGAAATTATCTCCAAGCACCAGCACTGTCCGAAATGACACAGGAAGCACTAGACATACTTGGTAACTTGCCACTGTGCCCCCATAACTTGTCATTGTTCTTCTCCCCAATGGAGGCCTTCCTGTCAGGTTTCCATTGCTCTCAGTCACCTGTGTAATTACCTTGTAATAGCCGAGGCAAGTACCTGCATTTCCTGCGCACCAACCCTTTCCTTGGAATGGGTGAGAAGTGTAATTGCCTGTGTTGACATAACTGCTACAAGGCAATTACACGTTATTTCCTTGGGCAATGCCTGGTAATATAAGTAGCTGTAAGGCTGTTGCTATGTGGTTGCAAAGCTTTTTTTCCCCAATTAGAGGGATATTAATTACTAAAGGATAGAAATCAATCAAGCAGAGAAATGTTATGCTTTCTTCAAACCCTTCATAGATGCACCTCAGTGTTTTCTTTCGGTTCCTTTCTGTGTTATGTAAAGGTCTTTCACCAGTGATATCAAGCACTCTGCTCCTACTACAGAGGGAAATACACAACTAAAAAAGCAGAAGTGTAAGCTTTGTTTGTGACATAATTTGTGACAAGAGAAGAACACAGTCATTGGGTTGTTCATGTGATGTTTGGATGGAAGTACTCACCAATACAAAAGCCAATTGCTGTCTAATACTGGGATCACAAATCGATTGGGGAACAGACTTTGACACAACACTGGCAAAGAAACCTGAAACCTCCAGCACAGTGTGGACTTGTCAGCACAGATTGCAGAGTTTGAATTAAAATAGTGAAAGTTTTGACAGCAAACATGGTGGAGTGTGCAGTTTCTGGATATAAACCAGACCCTGGAGCTCCCTTCCATTATCCACCAAAAACTCCGTCATGGCAGATATTATTGTGTTTCACAACCACAAACACTGTGTCAGCCACTGCCAGTTAGCCTGCAAGCTAACAAGCTAGCAAACAACATAAACAAATAAAATATGCTAGCTACATTTACCATTCTGATGTGTCTGCTAGTCGTCAAATTTGCTGCAAAACAGACTCCTCATCTGAGTCTTGATCTGACAAAGGCTCAAACATCTCTGCGATGTTTCCTCTAACATTAGTCACCTTGATGCACACTGCTTGTTCACCAGTCTACCTGTCAACAGTCTCGCTGGTGCCAGTGCTGAAAAAGCAGACAATGGTGGGGAGAAGGACGGAGGCCAGATCCAGAGGGAGGGAGAAAGAAAAATGGATCTGCTCCCGCCCCCCTTGACAGTTTTTTCTTTCTTTTTATGTGGGGAAACCATGATGAACAAAATATTAACAAAAGCATAGTATTTTTTACATTCTTTAAAACGTGTTTGGATGGGGATGTTCATTATTACCTATCAGCTATTTTATTTTCTTAACATTGGTTGTGTTGTGTTCTCAATGCCAACACTGGCACTGCAGGGCTACTCTGCTGCCAAAATTATAATTGTCTCAATTAATGATGTAAGATTTACTTGTCATGGCAAAGCTGTCAAAAGTGCAATTCAAACATCTAAATACAAGGCACACGTACGCCACACGCCTCCGGCTCTTATTTGGTAACACATATCAAATGAGGTCCAAACCAGAACTGAAAATGATGCTTTTGCTCTTCACAAAGGGCAAAAAAAATATTGAAATCATGTGATCAACAAATCAGCACAGGCTCACTTTCAATGTAGCTGAACTCAAAACTGAGCTCTGGTCAGGGCTTGAAAATTAGTTGATGCCAGTGTGACTGTAACACTGTGATGTTTAACACAAGCAGCCACACTAGAACTCTGACTCTAACCAACTGCCCGTGCACAATGCTACAGAGACATTTTGGTTGGTATTTAAAACCTTAATTAAGTTCAATTCAACAACAAAAAAGGAGATAAAAATTATATTGATATATTGCTAAATTAGCAGTCAAAAAAATAATAATTGATCCCAGCTAGAGTTCTGTGCTTTCATTACTAAAGAATGAGACAGGATAAATATGGAGCTAAAAAGTAGAAGGTTGAAGAAAAGGATTAAGGTCAGGGAGGGGAGGGGTACGGGGAGACGGAGGTGAAGAAATTGGAGGGGAAGACAACAGAATAAATCAACAGGTGACAGAAATGCTCAGCTGTCATCTGACCCTGAGGCAAGGATCGGCGCTCACGTCGCAGGTATGCGCATCTGCCCCGCTTTGATCTTTTGCCTGGCACAGTTTGCACTTGGATAGCGTGTTTAAAAAAAAAGAAAAAAAAAAAAGAGAAAGAAATCACAAACAGACACCGACGTAAAAATGAGGCAGATACACACATGCACCCACACACTTGCAAATGATTGTGGTAACACGCAAAACAAGTGTTCAAAGGCAAAGGCCAGGTGCAAAGCTGAAATGGCATGAGAGACGATAAAAAGGAGCAATCATATTAACAGTGGGATGACAGAGGGACAAAGATATGCAGTGTTACAGAAAAATGGGGGAAGATGTTTCCCATAACTGGTGTGTGTGTGCGCGTGTGTGTGTGTGTGTGTGTGTGTGTGTGTGTGAGTGAAACTTGTAATGTGTGCTTCTCTGCTTATGTAGTGTAGATATGTATAGCTGTTTGCAGACTGCGTGCAAGTATGCATGTGTACTTACACATTTACAGTAAGTATATATGTCTACAGTGTGTATGTATACTTTGAGTTTGTGTGTGTGCGTGCATGTCTTGTGTGTGTGTGTGTGTGTGTGTGTGTGTGTGTGTGTGTGCGCACGTATAGGATAACATAGTGCCGTCTTGTTGGTGAGACGGTGAGAATTCAAGCAGATTACAGAGGAGAAATCCGATCATTACGCCACACAGACCCTGTGTTTTACTCTTGGAAAACAGGTGGGTACATGAGCGAACAGGATGAAAAAGTTCCATGTTTTGTCTCATACAAAAAGGTGGACGGTCAGCGAGTGCACGAATGGGAAGGGCCTGCTGAAATGAAATGCTACTATAGGATATGGTCTGTGGGAGTTTACATGATGTGGTGGAAGCAAAAGGGGAGCGGGGCAGACTGCAGCAACACAGAGAAATTCCTTCTATACACACACACAAAAAAAAAGAGGACAAGCCCTTGGCTACCCTGACACCTGGTGGACAACAGGGGACTGGAAACACTCCAAGTTAAATGAATCTACTGTGCAAATGAAAGTTTAGTGACCTACAAGGACATTCAGTTTGGTTTGAACAGTGATCCAAGTGATGCAACAAAAACAGATTACAAAACATTCCTTATAACACTGAAGGCAAGCTAATACACAGCAGAAAGCTTTGAAAACATGCATTTATAAGGACAAAAAAATGAATCCCATTCCAGTCTAATCAACTTGATTCAAACACAATCTAATGCTATTAGTGCTCTTTTAATTCTTTGGTGTCCTAACCAAGAGGAACAGATGAAGAAGAAAAATGAAGCAGCATCTGACTCACTTTATAATTATAGGCTTTCAAAACATGTGGTGCTCATCACATGTAAGCAATCATCCTCTTACACCCAAAACAATGCAATGTTAAAGTTGAATGTTAAACAACAGTGACATGTCGCCACTTGGTGTCACTATTTGGTACAACTCAAGTTCAAAACAAGTGTGTATTACTTTATGTAATGTGTGCTTCTCTGCTTATGTATTACTTGTATATTTGTGTGTTACTTTTATATTGTAGACCACTCAAGTTCAAATCACAACACTGTCTCACCTGCCTCGATAAACCAAGCTGATTATCATTGCAGCAAACTGCTTTGCAGAAGCTCGAGGTTCGCATGTTGGATTTTTAATAAATTCCTATTTAATGTCACAAAGGTCACACTGGACCGTTGATATTGCATGTAGTGTAAAGGACACTACACTCAGCAGTAAAATGAGTCACTCATATTTCCAGACCCACCTCATTATCACACACTGTATGCTTTTTAAACCATCAGATATTTGTATTTAGTCAATCTGAACTGCTGTTTACTTTGTTCAAAGTCTGACACCGTAGGCCCCTCCCCACTAAGACAAAATTAAGATAACTGTGCTTTACTAACACACCTTTTTTTATATGATTTTGACTCAGATTCATGGACATTTATTTGCTATGGACACTGGATATCCTGGGAAAGTTTACGTGATACTGAAGCTAAAAATCAGTGTATCACATCTGTGTATGCCCTCAAGGAACGTGGATCTCACAGTTTGAAAACCTCGGCCCTGAAGTATCCTGCAGGTACTGTCTAACAACTAATGCTTTTCACAGGTATAATCAAAGTTTACATTTTTAATATTATTTACAAAAAAAGAACAAAAAAAAAAGCAGCCTTACCTTTTTGACCTCTTTCCCAACATTCTTCGGAGGCTTCACATCATTTTCATCACTGTCCTCATCTTCATCATCACTTCAAAGAGGAAGAGAAAAAACATTAACTGAGGTAAAAAGCGATGTGAAAGGGTTGTCTCTGCACAAATGCTAGAAAAAGGTGAATAATATGATTTACTGTATTATGTGGTATTACATATATGCACGTTGTTTTTTTAGGCATGCACCACGAATTAAAGAAAAAAAATCAGCAAAAAAAGGAATACATACTCGTCATCATCCTCGTCACTGTCATCTTCATCGTCATCGGACTCCATCTTCAGTTTTTTCTACAAGGAAATGAACCATAATTTTGTCAGAAAAAACATTAAGAGTTTTACAGAGGGCCTGAGTCGTCATTACTGTTTGACACAGTGTGACAACATGCAGTGTTTCCTCTGTCTTCCTTTTGTCAGTGTGCAACAAGAAAATAAGCCCCACTGCTGCAGAGATGTTCTTCAAAATCTTTAAAATCTAAAGTTTAGACTCTTTCTTTGGGAGTTAAAGACAGATCTGTGGTTAAATGAACACGCTGAGGTAGCTACCAATGGGGGCCTTTTCCCAGACATCAGGCCTGCAGGCCGTTTCACCGGTGATGTGTTGTTCTCCTCTTCCTCATCCTCTGAATCCTTCACACCTAAGAAAATAGACACTTGTTACTGCCACTACACAGTGATGAATTAGATTTAGAAGTTCATGCACAGCCCTTGTATTGACTTTTAAATATTATGATAAACAGAGTGACATTTATCATCAATATACTGGTGAAATGATCAAAATCTAACAATCAGAAATAGATTGTTTCTCTCTGTATTTATCACTGTAGTAGTTTTAAAAAGCAAAGCTATTTGTTAAAGCACTGTTTGTGATTAGTCTTCGTAAAAGAGTAGCACTGTTTTTCTGCTTGAAAAATGTGTCATCCTGTTATGCATTTGTCCCACTGAACCAAACTGTAAAGAGGCAGCTCGTAAATGAGCGAGTTCATCCCAAATTACAGTCTGAAGAATAATGATGGTCACTTTGTTTTATGGGTCTATAAAATGAAGCTCCATTAACTTCACCATACTTCAGACTGACATAGTGTAAAGTAGGCAAGGACTTCATTTTACTGATACAGTGAGTCACACTTTGTGCGTCCGTGTCTGTAATTAAAGAAGAAGAAAAGGCAGTAGTAACACTAGCAGCTGTTGGTTTAATACTCACTAACAAAATGCTGCCCGCTGATGTGAACCGGTCCAGAGCCAGACTGCAGACGGAACGTAACAGGGGGTGTGATCTCAAATCCACCTAAACTCATCTGGACAGGACAAATTACAACAGCAAAATGAGCAGGTTAATCACTGTTATCATACTATTTCATTCACTATCATCACTACTGGTTTCTGTATGCTCCACAGTTAGAATGAGTTGTTTAGCATTAAAGAGGCTGAAAGCTAGTTTTCTTTTACTGTTGCCAGTTTTAAAAAAAGAACCAGGTATTATAGATCATACATATTCTTTACTTGTATACCATTGAGTAGCCCCTTTAACACTTAACAAAATGTTGCCAGCTGAGGCATTCACTCACAGAGGGCAGGACGGACGGTTTCAGGACAACCAGCGGCACTTTGGTCGATTTTCCATCATAAGTGAGGCCTTCCACTTCCACCATGTGGAACTTATCCTCCGCCTCGGCTCCCAGACACACCTGAGAAGGCAACACAGTTCACATCATGACACCATCTCCATTTCTCGGCATCGTTACTATTGTTCCTGATACCCTTCGTGTGACCTACTGCACTGTGTAACATATTTAAGACATGCATTTGGTCTCTTATAACGTATTTATTTTTGACATTCTTTTACTTTTTTCCAACAAGTAGGAGAGAGTAGGAGAGAGACCGAACAGACACAGACTGCTGTGTGTTTGATGGACCCAGATGGATTAGATGATCTTAATATCAACAACATTTTGTAGTGTGATGACAACATTCATTGGATGATTCAGTATTGGAGCTTGTATTGCGTGTTTTTGTATTGTTTTGTTGTGTTGTGTTTTTGTTTAGATGTGTGTACTGTCTTGGTGTTGTTTTTGTGATATGTGTGTGTGTGTTCCCACAAAAAGGGTTAAGGAGAAGAACTGTGACTCCTGTTGGAACAAATGAAATGGGAATTTCCCCAAGTCAAACTGGTTGGAAATACCTGAGTATTTTTGGATGATGGGAGATTCAACTAGGCAAAAACACTTTATCATTAACGTATGTATTGAAAGCAGAAAAGAAGAGGAAGAAAACTAAAGGAATGACTGAAGTGTGACGGATACATTTCAATTGAAATACTATATGTTATATTCTGCATTAGCCTACTGGGAAAATGTTTGTGTCAAAAAGGCACACCTTACTCTTTTGCCAATTTTAGTAGGCCTACATTTAATACATTTTTTCAACTTCAAATATATAAGTACTGCTTTTATAGTGATGCTCAATCTGATAACACAAATAGATCAAATATTGTCTTCAGTAGATGGCAACAGCAGCCAATTCAGGTTTGACTAAAATCAGTTTTGGCTCTCCTGTAAAATCTCATATAACGAAGTCAGACTGAATTCATTCAGTGGTCACTGCTGATAATTTTATTATTATATAGCAGTTATTTCTATCATAATAACCACTATTGTCCTGTTAATTAGACATTAGTCTTTACATATAATACCTGTAAAGCAAACTGGAACTGACAGAGGCGGAGACAGACAGATGCTCTGCGAAAGTAACTGCGTAACTTACGTTATTGGCACACAGTTAACGCTACACTTACGTATAATGTCCATGGTCAACTAAGGTTTCTAACGTCTAAACACACTGCTATTTCACACACCTATGTAGCCCCCATGCCCTTTCCCATTGAAACATGCGTTACTGCCACATTATTCAGCTTGAACAGTTACTCCAGGTGCAAGATAAAGCGTCTTCCTTACTGCTTTGAGTGACAGCTGCTGCTCCGTATCATCGTCGTCTACGTCAACTTTGAACTCCCGTTTGTCCGATTTGAGGGTACAACCTGGAAAAAACGATACGTGCAGCGTTAACTAACCTCTTATGTGCACCTATGTTTAACAAAATACACAAACGTACAAAACAGTTGGACATGCGGGGGGTTACTCTTCGCTATAGCTGCCGTATCTCCATGCCTTGCTCGGCTAGCTAACAAAAGAGCTGAATTGGCGCGAGCAGGGGGCAGGCAGGCTAGCTAGCTACGTAGCTAACTTCCTCCGGCTAAAGATGTTAAATGGCTATTTGTGCATGATAACATGGCGGTTAAACTGGTTGTGCAACCGAGCATTTTCAGGCTTGTCAGAATAAGCGAGCTCACCAAACAAGTACATTTGTGGTCTGCTCAAATCTGAGATATCGTCCTCCATCTTTGAAGTGGGTGGTAACACTTCCGTAAACAGGAGTGACGGACACACTGCCGAGCCAATAGCGTGTCATAACTTATGACGTGTAAAAACGCTTAAGCCAATAGAATTAAAGGTAGGGCGGGACAAATAAAACTGAATGTTATAGTGGATGAACACTAGATGGAGCTGTTGTAATAAGGATTGATATCTTACAAGGAAATGACCTGCTTCAAATAAAAGTATGAAAAAATAATAACGACACGAACAAATAAGACTTATATAATCATTTAACAGAGGCTAATTATTATTATTATTTAAATATATGATAGTTAGCTACAATTTATGTTTAAAAACTATATGTGCAAGAAAAAGAAATAGCAAAACTCATCAAGACAGACAACAAGATGGCAGCAGAGAAGGTTTGATTATCAAGTATATAATTAGATGAAGTTGGTGTTTGCACAGCCACCAATTTTCTGAATATCTGCAAGGTCTTTATACAGTAGTTTGTATCCTCCTAACTGCTTCCTCAAATAAGCTTTACAGCTTTTATATTAAGATTGGGATATTCTCCCTTATGTCTATCACTTAATGTGCTGTTTGGACTAAATAAAAGAGGCCTTTGGTCAGTGCTATTAAAAGTGCAGCCCAGGGGGCAGTTGCAGCCTTTGAAGAGTCTTCAGTGGTTGTTAAAAATATTGATAATAAAACGCAGAGCCACTGCAGTCTCAGATATTACAGTGTGAAGAGAAATTAACCGAGTGTGAAAGTTTCCAAACTACACACAGAATTTATTTTATCAATGGGTTGCTTTAGGGAAAAGGCTAAAAACAATCTCAAGTGTATTAGCAAATGCCTCTTTTTGTCTGTGGATTTAAATTATGACTATATATTTCATTTAAAATTGGTGTAATACAAGTCAGATGATTGGATGATGGGATCTAGGATCAAAACTGTATTTTCATTTTTTGATACCCTGGATACCTTGTCTTGTTCTCAGTGTTAGAGCCCCAGAGCTGGTGAGGATTCACAGTTCTGCATTGCAGGCAGGTTTTTATCTAGCATGTGGCTTGGCAGGGAAATCAAGGCCACTCACAATCTAATTGCGAAACCGCAGCTGAGTTGCTTAATTGTGAGATGTCTTTCTAACCTTAATGAGTGCCTGCACAGTGTGTCAGTAGCCGGCCCGTACTGAGCAGGTGTTGAGTCACTGATCTGCAGTACCAGTATTACCCAAAAGGAATGAGTTGTCTTCATGCATGCCTGAAAGCTTGTGAAGGCTTTAATGTGTCACAGACTGCCAGGACAGGACATGTCTGCAGATCCGTTCTCATAGCAGATATGATATTGTTCATGGACTTACTCGACACATTTTCTTTGCACTTTAATAAAGACTCCTGAAAGTGCAGAGGCAAAAAGAAGTTGTTTTGTGTCTATATTTACTTGCTATCACCCAGTACATGGATGCTTTTTATCCCTGCATGTACTCTTGTATGCAAACATGTATATGTGTAACTGCGAGTAAGTACATGCACATGTGAGTGTGTGCATATATGTGCAACTGAGAGGGAGAAACAGAGAACCATGAAAGCGTGTCATGTCAGCAGGTTGAGTTAGCTCTGAAGTCTCTGTCATGCTGTCAGGGTGCAGAGAGAGCTCTTCATTCCTCACTTGACTCAGATGGAAGTGACTTGATGCTCCAGGATTTTTACTGCTACAGCAGCCGACAGTTATTTAATAATCATCCCATCAAACGGTACATCCAGAATATGAAGACTTACAGTAAAAACCCATGTGAATCTCCTGTTAAATGTCCCCTAATCCACTAATTGGTCTTCTATTTAAATCTATACTTGATATGTTTGTAGATTTTTGTAGAAGTCACAGATAAGGAAGAGGACTGATTTTGAGTTATGGCATTTATTTATTTATTTATTTTTTACGGGTAGTTTCAAACTAACTTCGTTCACATTTGCTCTTTAGTTACAGGGCAGCATATTGCTGACATGCCAGAAAAATAAAAATGGATCAGTATCATATAGTAATTAGAACATTTTATTTTCATATCAAGATGTTTTTCATGGTTTAACAAGATATTTTCAGATTATAACAAGATATTATCCCCATTATAATGATAAACTTTAATTGTTATAACAATATACTATTTATCTTCTTATAATGTGAAACATTTCATGTCAAAACATGATAATTTATTGTTGTAACATAAAACATTTTACATTGTAACACAATTAAAGTTTCTTGTTAGAACGTGATAAGTAATAGGCCTAACATGAAAATATGTTGTTATAAAATGAAAAACATCTTCTTATTACTTGTTTGTTTGTTTGTTTTTCTGGAGTGGCAGTAAAATGCCCACCATACTTCATGCGTTCTTGATTCCCAAACAAAAAGTTAATCTGTCCAGCCAAACCAGTTACCATCATTTGAAACAGACAGTCTCCACTCAGGAGGTTTACCTCACTTGAATTACAGAAAGCCACAGGACATCATGAAGAATGCTGTTTGTTTCCCGAGCAATAATACATTTGAAGACAAAATAACCAAACTAAATATTATGGGACCATTACATCTATCACCAGAGCATTGTGGTTCTGAGTCATTACTAATATTGTGTGATCAATGAATGGGTTCAGGAACAAAATGGCTCTGGAAAAACACTTGTGAAATGCCCATGACATAAAATGTTTCCATTTTGCCGACTGAACGCCGAGCTGAGTCTGATTCATCAGAGTTGAATTTTGTTGATATTAAATGCATTTAATTTTTCACATCTGCCGGAACAAAACTGTGATTTTCACTTGTTTCCACTTCCCACACCTCTTGCGTCACCCACATGTAAAAATCTGTTAATAAGTGTCTATTGCAAGAGCACTTCATACTTGACCGAACATCTGAGGAAAGGTGTACAGATCGCTGCACTTCAAAATGGAGGCCTGTTACTGTAGAATTATAGATTTGGAGCGCTCCTTCTCCCCGCTCTGCAATATGCAACCCAAGTAACTCAAACTAACGGGCCGTGGCAGCATTTTAAAATCAACAGCCATAAAGGCCTTTAGTCAACAAAGCCTCACATGTCAACACATTAGCAGTGATCTAATAGAAGTTGGCAGTCTGAAGCGGCCGTTGCTTTCCTCCAAAATGTAGTGGCTACAGCAGCTGTCATGGCCTGAAAATGGTTGTTAGGACTGTGGACTGATATCATTACATCTGGTATTAAACAGGAAAAAAAGAATTTCAATATCATGCTTAGGCTGGTATTAGTCATGATCTGTACGGTAGTGGATGGGCTACAGATAATCACACTGAACATTTTGCCATAGTTAAGGAAACGTAAACTACAACTAATCTTTATTTTAAGAGCCCTGCTCTTATTCTGGACACAAAAAATACTGAATATACTTGTGATCTGGATTAGGTTATTGTGCCAACATGAGCACAGGCTCTTGTGGTTTGACTTGTGTATCATATATAAACAATCGCTCTTATAAAAGTCTAGTTTTATATTAGTTTATAGTTAATATTATGTTTGTGTAATGTGTGGGAATGCAGCAATGACATTATTGTGAAACACCTTAGTTGTTGTTCATAGCTGGGGATTAGTATTGAATTGTCCAAGGATGTAGCTATGGAGCCAACAGTGGGGGACCCAATCTGCTGGGGTGTCCCTCCCTGCCTCTGTTCACCTGGGCAGCACCTGTCACAGCAGTATGATACTCCGATGGCCGCATATCTCATCTAGCGTGGGAACACCTTGGGGTCCCCCAGGAGGAGCTGGAAAGCGTTGCTGGGGAGAGGGACGTCAGTACTTTGCTTGGCCTGCTGCCCCTGCAACCCGGCCCCGGATAAGTGGATGAAAATGGATGGATGGATGGATGGATGGAGTTCATGACACTGCTGGTTGGCACCTGTTGCAGTGGTATGATATGCAGCTGGACAGCGTCAGTTTGAAACGGAGCTTTAAAGTCCCTGTAGGGTGGTTGGGATTGGTGGTAGAACGGTCCAACAAACCCTGGACTTTCACCTGGGAGGCTGGTGTTGACTTCCCATATAAATACAGAGCCAAACCATGGTGTTTTTTTTAATCCTAACCATATTGTTTTGTTGATATCCCAGCATTGGTTGCAGCATTCCAGAATGCCTAGTGTGTAATATGTAGACGTAGATGTCCACTGGCAAAGCGGCGATATATAGAGTATGACAACTTGGGATGAGAACGGGTTGATTTATCAAAACCACTTAAGCACACTATAAGAAAATACAATAAACAAAAGCTACTCCTTTCTATATAAATTACATGTGCAGCACAACATATATGACAGACATTTAACTCAGACTTCATGTGGTCTGTCTGACCAATGCAACATTATAAAGACATTAACATTAATTGAATATACCTGTGAGTCATGTTCTAATGGGGTACGGCAACACCACTTGGACAAGCCCAACCTAGTCTCAGCTCATCAAATATTGACGCTTGGTCAGCGGCCTGTCGGCGTCAGACACAAACGCACTCCATCGTGGCGGTATGGGAGGTGGGATTTGTTGATCCGCCAGGCAAATGATGCTGAGCATAAGTTCAATCAGAAAGACTGTCTTTATGCTATATTCATTCACAGTTCTCTCTCTATCCCACTCCCAGTGAAACTTTGACACAGTCTCTCTCAGCCATTCATGTTGCTTCTGCCTACCTTTAAATCTCTTCTCCTCTTTGCTCTCTCTGTCAGCTGACATTTTAGAATTGTCGTGCCCTCCTCCACCCCATTCACCTCCCGTCACCTTATCCAGAGCCCAGGACCAGCTTATCAAAAGCCCCGTCCTCTTCACATCCACATCCTCAGCTCCCTCTTCATCTCATCTCATCACCACCATCACCACCACCAGTGTCTAGACTCCAAAGAAGGGGGCGGGGTTCCCTGATCTACTACGTCTTTACCACCCTCCTGGAATAGCTGACATCATGATGGGGTCTAATCGCCTTTTTTCATTTCTCATACTATGTGCACATGTAAATAGATATCA